ATTTGACATGGATTGTTTTTACCTGTGCGCTTAAAATAAGCATGTGACTAAGTTCAAAATTCCCTGGTGGACTAAAGGGCTTTTGGATCAAGTTAAAGTTTAACTTGGTGTTTAAATGGGATAAAGAGGAAAATAAAAGCAGTCATGAAAGGCTAAAGAGCAAATAGTTCCACCTGCTTTGTGGTCAGAACTGGGTTTGCTTTTAGAAATGACGTCAAACAAAACAAAAACACTTTTAACACAGGGTTATTTTTTTATGGCTTTATTGTTTCTTCTAATGGAAAAACATTTTTTTTTTGTTTTTGGTGTTTTATATGCACAGAACTTTGTCACAGTTATGGATTCTTTTAGAAATAAAGTATTTGACAGAGTTATCCCTTTTTTAGGTGGAACTTATATACATATATATATATATATATATATATATATATATATAACCTATAGACATGCCAAAAAAGTTAAACCACTGGACTTTGTTTCCAACTTTTAAGACGTTTCACTTCCTGTCCAGGAAGCTTTTTCAATTCAAACTTGGAAATAAAGCCCAGTGAATTGCTTTTTTATTTTTTTTTATTTTGGAATGACTATGACCTGGATGAATGAAAATCTTCACCATCATAAAACCTATAGACATATTTCTAAATAACTTATATTATTATGATTATATAATAATAATGATTCATAAATAGGTGCAGCAGAGTATTAAAAAGGCAACAAACCCAGGAGTGATTTATTATGATCTTGAGTCTATGGAAACAACTTATTAGTAAAAAGGGTAGGTTTAAATTTATAATAGGGTTATATATCTATCAGCCTGGGAAAAAAGGGAAGGCAGCTCTGAACCAGAAAGGCATGAAAAAAACTAATCAGCAAATGATGAACTTCTCTGACTATCAGCTGCACACGGTTTGAAAAAATGGCCGCAGTGATCCCTACGTGATGAAACACCAGAAACATCAGTATAAAACAAAGAGTCAGTAAGAAAAAATAAAGGCTTTACACCATAACCACTTCCTCGCAGCGTCTCTCTCAAACATGCACCATTTTTCATATAAACCTACCTGGAAAACATTCACAATGAAAGAAGATTCTTTCCGTAGAGCCACGGTCATCCCATAAAAACTGCTTAATTTTTTTTTATGTATTTATTAAAGCATGGAGACGTCAGCAGCATGGAATGGGAGTGTTTCCACATCACTTTGCATGAGGTCAGTTTTTATTGAACATAACTTTAAAATAAAGGTTTCACTGAAACAAATAAAAACAGAAGTCATCAGGATTTCAGACCAGTAAGATCTTCACAGCAAAAACTGATCTAAAAATATTTAAAAATGTGTAGTACAAATTTGAGGCCATATGAGGAAAAGCAGAGGAAATGTTTAAACAAAAAAAATTCAGTTAAAAAAAAAATCCCACTTTTCCATTAATCAGTACGGAAGCCGAGAGTGGTCGTGTCCCTATGATACTTTTTCATGGTGGTTTTCTTGATAAAACAAGTAAATTTCCTCCTTTTCTAAAGATAACGAAAGTTGTTTTCTCATGATAATGAGATGATTGGTGCGTGTTAAAACTGATTACATCCTTCAATACCTCAACAGCTAGAGAGGATTTATATGCAATGTGTAATTCTGTAAATAATCCTTTGTTTAACCTTTAGGTAACAAGACAAAGTTGTTGGTTTAATGATTTGCTTCGAATTGTGATTCATAAGGAATTAGACAATCCCTCTGGCCCCTTAGCAACGGGTGTTTACTGAACAGCCCCGATGTTACACCTGTAACAGGTATAAGATGCATTAACCCCTAAAATGAGTCCAGATTAAAGATTTTCAATCAAATAATCTGATTGGTTTCTACCTTATTCCATGTAATCCAATCATCCACCACGTCCTGACAATGAATGAAAAGTAAAAATAAAAATCTGATTATTTGTGCACGCGCAGTAACCCGAATGCACAACCACGGGCCCCGCAGGCATGGATGGACTGTGATGTCCAGGGCTGTTGGCCAGCCTCATTCATTACTCATACATGTTAATCATCTCATTATCTCAAGAATTCAGCTATTTTCTTGTAATAACATAATTATCTTATCTCAAGAAAACAATGGTTTAATCGTGATAATGAGACATAGTTATGTCATTATCTCAAGAAGGCAAAGGAGTCTAATATGACCGCTCTCTGCTTCCGTACAGCAGAGAGGTGAAGCAGCTCAGAATCTTTGTTTCATTAGAACTAATATTTGGATCGGAATTAAACTAGTTAATTTCTTACGGTATTCATAGAGTAAATACTTTACTCTATGAATACTTTACTTTTTTAATGTAACAGCATATTATGTTTTCCTCTTTCCTTAGAGAGAGAGTATTTCATACATCCTCATGCTCAGAATACTGTTTGTTTTCCCCTTTTTTTCCTTCTGAAGTCCACGTTTAAAGCGGAGCGATACACTGACGGCCCCTAGTGGTGAATTTATAAATTGCAACACAAATATTTCTGGCCTTTTCAATCAAAACAACGCAGCACTTTGAAAAACTATTTAATTTTATTCTTTCACAGATAAACATCATTAGGAGATTTGGATGAGACAAACTAAGGAGTGTTAGGATCACTGGAGTAGCATGACAGCAAATGGAGTTAAGTCCTACGTTATGTTTGTTAAGGCCCCATTTTGATGTCCTAAACATGAAGAACAAACAATTAGCACTGCACTGCTTCCTGTCAGCTTTTCCTACAGCTTCTGGATGACAATAGAAGAGGCTCCACCCCCTCCGTTGCAGATCCCTGCCAGTCCGTACTGACCAGACTTCAGGTTGTGCACCATGTGACCCACGATCCGCGCTCCGGACATCCTGAAAAATAAAAAGCCATTTCTGTAACAAAAAATTATTCAAAGTGGTCTGATAAATATCAATAATAAAATATCTAAACTAATATCTACATTAACGAAGTGACTGACGATGCCACTCCTGCTACACAAACAGCATCTAGAAAGTTGTTTTCTGGAAATGCATAAGCAGGAATGTTTACTCCTCTTCAATACTGATTCAATTCAGTTCTCTTCATTATTCTCTGTTGTAATTTTCAAAAGGCCAGAAAAGCAGCTATTTATGGCCCGTAGATCAGTTTTCAGAATGCAATCCAAGATTATTTACAGCTGCTTGACTGGGAAGCATCCTTAAATCGTATGTAGATTTATTTTACATTTGAACATTAAAATATAGGGACAAATACGTAAGACAGGTAAGTTTAATGGTGTGTTCACAGCGTAGGTGGTGGCCTGTGGTGGATTCACGTAGAATCCCTCTCCAAACCAGGCGGTGAGGGCTTTCACTGCTCCTCCCTCACCTTGTGCTACTAGCTGGAGCTGAGGAGTCAAACAGCAGCACCACATTGAGAGAGGAGCGGTGATTGCTAAAAGTAAAACCAGCTGAACTTTTCTATGAAATCGTGAGACGGTATCTAATGGTTGTAGGCGAACCATTATTCACTTAAAATTTAGAAAATAATGTTAACAAAGGTAGAAATAAGGAATGCTCTCAATAGATATTTAGGTGGCTTTCTGAGGTGGGAGTTCCACCCAATCGGAGCTATGTCTGTACGAACCAATGTGGATATTTTTTCAGAGCTTTTGGGGCTTTTAAAAAAAATGATAGTCTCTCCTATGCAATTCAAAAGTTCTTCATGTTTGTGAGGTTAAGCTTCACCTGTGCTTTTATTGTGAAATGCTGACAGACAGCAAGACCTTGACAGGACATAACATGGGGTTGCCAGGGGTAACGGTCGGCCAAAAGCAAACAGTGTGAGAGGCTGGAGATGAACTAAATATTAAACAATCATTCCAGCCACTAACTAAGGTAAACATGCCCACTGTTATATTCAGGAATGACATGTGATGTTATGCAGGAACTTTATTTCAGGAAACACGCGCAGCACTACCGTCTGCTGGGATGGTGACATCATTGACCGTAATTAAAAATATTATTAATATTAATTAAAAACCAAATCAGCACAAAGGATAGTTTTACCTGCAGAAATGAAGCAGCACTGAAAAAGCAGGCTAGATAATTTAGATTTGTCTCGGAACTTAAAGGGGGGGTTGACCTCTGGGTGAAAAAGAATAATCTTTAATATCTCTGAAACAACAGCAGCAAATAAGATTTTACTTTCTTTTCCCAAATTACCATTTAAAATGCA